AGTTATAAACACGTTTTAGCGGATGTTTGTGGGCTGTCCCTCAACATTGAAATTAGATTGACTAGAGCGAGGAAGCGTTGTTGGGGTAATGTTGCTGTTGGTGTTAGACAGTTGAGATAGACTACTGTGAATTCCAACTTTTGGACAGGAACCAGTGTAGACTTTTGTGCATTTATATGCAACGCTAGGTTCGTGTGAAGGGTTATTGTGCTCTGCGTGGCGTTTATCGCTTCTTGCCATGTTGGTGCCCATATGAGGCAGTTGTCCAAGTATGGAAATATCATTACTCTGTGTCTGCAGAACTGAGTTGCAATGACAGGTAGAACCTTGGAAAAAAAACTTCGGGGCAGTAGATAGGCCAAAGGGTAGTACTCTGCATTGGAAATGCTGTTTCCCTAGGGTGAATCTCAAGAATCTTGTGTGTGGATGTTAATATGAAAATAAGCATCCTGAAGGTCAAGGGCCAAGAGCCAATCTCCCTTCTCTAATGTCGGAATTATTGTGGTTAGAGTCACCATTTTGATATATTCTTATGAATTTGCTGAGTTTTCGTAAATCCAGGATGGGTCTCCACCCGCTGGTCTTTTTCTGAGTTAGAAAATGGTGTGAATAAAAACCTCTTCCCCTGTGTTGCGATGGTACAGATTCCATGGCACCTATTTGTACAAAGTAGTTTATTTCCTGTTCTAACAGGTGCTTGTGAGAGGGGTCCCTGAAGAGGGACAGGAAAGGGGGGTGGGTAGGTGGGACAGAAATAAAGGGGATGGAGTAGCCCTTCTAGATAATCCCTAAAACCCATTTGTCTGTCATGTTGCTGTTCCAGACTGGGTAGTATGGTGACAGACGGTCTCCAGATGGGCAGGGAACCGTTTCTGGTTCCAGAGTAAGAGAGTGTGGAGGTCTTGTGCCCTCGACCACACCTTCAAAATGATTGTCTAGAGGTGGATTATCAAGACGTCGAAGGCTGATCTTGGTTATGCCAACATCTGTTCTTTGTTTATGCCATTGGTCGTACTGTCTTTGGAGCTGAGAGTATGGCGTAGACCAGAATCTCTGATTGTAAAACCTGCTGTTTCTTTTTGTTTGCAGGTATGTAAATACCAAGGGTTTTTAAGGTTGCCCTTGAGTCTATTTGTATGTAATGAGACATCGGTTTTGTCTGCAAAGTTTCTGACCCTCGAAGGGTAAGTTCTCGATGGTTGCCTGGACCTCTCTTGGGAACCTGGAGAGGTAGAGCCAAGATGCATAGCGCATGACCATAGATGTTGCGATGGATCGTGCTGCCGTATCTACAGAGTCAAAGGAGGCCTGTAGGGCCATCCTGGAGATGAGAGACCCCTCAGAAATGTTTGCCTTGTATTGTTCTTTTTTGTCATTGGATAAATTTTCAATAAAAGTTGACATTTTGGAGAACAGATTGCATGTATTATTTGGCCAGCAGGGTTGCACAGTTGGCTATGTGGAACTGAAGTGTAGCTGAGGAATAAGCTTTCCGCCAAAAGAGGTCCAGCCTTTTCCAATCCTTATCGTATGGGATCATTTGGGACTGGTGTTGTTTCCCTCTTTGGTTCACTGTCTCCACTACTAAGGAGTTTGGTGTGGGGTGTGTAAATAGGAACTCAGCCCCTTTTGCTGGCATGTAATATTTTTGTCATATCTTTTACATGAGGGTGGTGCTGTAGCAGATGTCTGCCAGATTATTTTTTTTGCAGGCTCCATGCCTGCATAATTAATTGGCAGAGCTATCTTTGCTGATGGGTATGCCTGGGGTATGTCTCAGAGCTTATGTTGGGCTTCTGGTAGCTGAGCCAACGAAATGTCTAGGGATTCAGCAACCCTTTTGAAGAGGTCCTGAGAGGATTTGAAATCATCCCCCATGGTGGGTGGTGGTGGCATGGTTTCGTCTGGTGACAGCGAAGAGAGGTGAGTAGGCAGCAAAGTGTCATACTCAGCTATGTCCTCAGGTTCCTCAGTGTCCTCATCTTGTGTTTCTGAGGGTGCCAGAACAGTTGGTGAAGGAGACCTGGCTGTTCTGGACTAAGGATAGCTAGGAGAGCTGTGGTTTTGGGCCCCATACATTGCCCATGGATCCCAGTATGACCAGTTAGGTGGGAATGGTATGTGAGGTGGTGTCCGTAGGTGATCACATCCTCATATATCCGCAGGTGGTTGGTGATGAGATGGTCCTGGCTTGGGTGAGGAATGGCAAGCAATATATATTACTGCATCATCTTCTTTCTCATCACTGGAGGTAGGGGAGGCTGATCTGCAGGGAGTAGTCTGGCTTGGTACTGTTCTGGATGAGGTACCTTCGGTGGCGAATAAAGATTCAGGCATTGAGGTCACTATCAGGTCCGCATGCCTCATGAATTACTGCGGAACTGTGAGGCTTGGTGTCGGAGACGACATGGTGGACTGCCTGGGAGCATGAGTTGAAGCTGCCGGTGCCAAGGATTTAGAGCTGTATGGCATAGGTACAGCAAGTGGCGCCATTGTACCACTTGGTGCCAAGATCTTCTTCGGCTCTGTGGGTGCCGAGCTGGAATGTTTCAGTTTAGCGCGTGAACCTCCTTTAGAGCTTGCCTGCATAGGGTCTTTAGCTCTTCAGGAACTCTCGGTGCCGGACATTCCTGGTGCCTCGAGGTCCGGCACTCTCAGTGCCATCAATACCGGAGCAGATTTTTCAGTTAGAGATTGCTTTCTTTTAGGTGATTCTCCGTGCAGGGATGTCTGCGATAGCTTTTTGATAGCCTTTCTAGGAATAGGCTCTTTGGCAGCTGTTGCTGAAGTAGAACCCCTGTCAGAGGCTGCCGCTGGCGACCGTTGGCCAGGGGGTGACCTGGACTTGGGGTCGGAGACTGGCCTGAGGGATTTCTCCTTCATGAGAAGCTTCAGTTGGAGATCTCTGGCTTTTCTTGTCCTGCCTGTCAGCTTTCTGCAGTGTGGGCACTTTTGAGTAATGTATGTCTTGCCAACAAAGCAGACACACTGAGCCTGGCTGTCAGAGACCAGTATGGATAGTCTGCAAGTCAGGCTGCATTTAAAGCCAGGTGAGCCGGGCATGCCCAAGGGAGTCAGTCTCTTAGAGAAAAATTGGGGTAAACCTGCCGGAGAGACAGGGGTAGAAAGGGAAGGTAAAGGGAGACTTTTCTGTGTGAAAATTAAAGAAATTAGAGTAAGGCAAGGGGATAAGGAAGCTAATTACAACAATCACTATGAACTATCTACTATAAATCTTATCTGAGGTAAGAGAAGGTGCTGCTGATTGCTTCCACTCAAGCCAAAGATGGCAGAGAAGGAACAGGAGGATGGTTGGCTGTGCACTGCTATGTAACCGCTCGGAGCGGCACAAGACAGCTACAGCGCATGTGCAACCCAACCGGGCACTGCTACCAAAAATCTCCAATTACAAGTGCAGGGCGTCAAGACACCTAAAGTGGAGCACTCATAGGGACACTCCTTGAAGAAGAACATAGCTTGTGACACATCCTGGTGGGTCCAATAATTCTTGGAACTGAAGTCATCTTTGGCACAAGGGTCACATGCCTTGTAAACAAATATATATATAGAACCACTGAAGATTGGGGAACTTTCCAAAAATTCTGACAGCATCTGCTGATTTGGGAGAATTTATTATCATAAATATTACTGAATCAAACGTGAATGAACTGTGTCAAATGACTGTAGGGGAAGACTCTTTTCTGATTCATCAAGGGGCCTCAGGAGCAAGTGAGGACAGTAACTATTATGAGCCATTGACAAAGAAGGCATATTCATGCCTGAACAATCTAGCTTGACAGAAAGTCTATGTTCCTCTCCCTACAAGTGGCCATTAAGAGGTAAGGAACCAGCAACTGCTAAAGCTTGCCAGAGACAAGCATATGAAGCCTCCTAGTCAGCTTGCCAGGAGATCTACTAGCAAGAACCAACTGAACCAAGACCATTATGGATCATTTCTGCAACTGCAGCAATACCTTCTAAAGACAGTGTCTGATCTGAAGAGCTTGAACTACTACCTTAAAGAGAAAACTTAATTATTTGAGGATGGCAAGGTTGCCCTGGTTCCACAGCTACCAGTTGCGCAGCCAAGTTTCCACAGCCTCAGAGCAGAGGGTTGGGGAGGGAGGAGTAAGGACCTGCAACAAAAGGGCATCCCTGGAGAAAGCAGTTGTCATCTGAGAGCACCAACATAGGAAAGAGCTGAAGGAGCCACTGCTGGAGACGTACCACGAGAAGGTTTTGAAAAAGAAAAGTAGATACCAACATCTGCAGAAGGGCTGAAAGCGTACATCTGGTGAGTGCAGCTGCTACATGGAAGGTAGCTGAGGCCCAGAAAAACAGCGTCAGCACCAGCTGCACGCAGGAGCCTCAAGGTCCAGTAGCTGCCGAAAGGAGAAGCACCAGACCCAACTGCATGGAACAGGAACATTAAAGAAAGACATGTAGTGTGTGTGGTGTTTGAAAGGCAAGTAGTGTGCATGCATGTGCCACAGAAATGATGAGGAAGTGTGTGCAGCTGTAACTGGTAAGGATGGAGGGGGAAGAGTCACTTGCAGCCAATGATTCAGCTTGGAAAGGGACTTGTATGCAGTCTGTGACTATGTAATATTTTTTTGGCATGACAAGTTACAGAAATGACAAACGGAGGTGTGTGTAGTGAGTTTTAAAGAAATTGTTTCAAAAGATACTAGGCAGTTACTCACACATCAAAGAAATGTTAAAGAACATTTCTTTTCTTCCAGTAAGAACAAATCTCTTATTTCTTATCTCGAGTTCGTCACTTAACTTACATAGCAATGGTTGTTGATTTTACTTTACCTGCAGCTTTTCTCCCTAAACAAAGTTTTAAGTCTGTGCTAAAAGCCATTGATTGGGTGAATCAACAAGCAAGGGAAACTGCTCATTTATGTCTCAGTACTATTCTCACTTTGTATCCATTCTGTCCATTGCCATTTGAAACTAATTTTGGTATAGATTTCAGAATGAAGTTAAATGTTTACCTTACTGCTGAAAGCTTCTCTCCTTTTTTCCAGTCCCAGAGCACAATAGTATGATTATCATCTATGCCAACAGAAGCCAACCGTTTGCCATCCGCTAGAAAAGGAAATGTATGGTAAGAGAGTGGGTAGAGAGCATTACTCTGCAATAACAAGAAATCAAATTATTATACTAGATATACTATAAATCATACAAAACACTACTTGTAATATTATGAGATGAAAGAATGTACAAACAGATAAACCACAGCTGATGTGTTGTAGTTAGCCAGATTTTTTATACGAATGGTCTAGTGGACAGAGTATAGGATTTGAATCCAAGAATTTCCAAGTTCTAATCCTCCCTTTGCCATTAACTTAGTGCAAGATCTTAGACTAGTCATTTAATTTCATTATACATTTTAATCTTGGACTTTTAGGATTTTGGCACAGGAATTATTGATGTTGCTAGCTTTTTCAACAGTTGGGAAATGCCAGGTCACCTAAAGCAGAGTCATTGCCTTCCTGTTCCTCTACACTAGAAGCATACTTCACCTTAGTATCCTCCACATCAGCACTCATCCTCAAGAATATCCTTTTGTAACAGGGTAGTTGACTCCCTGTGATGGGCTTGTAAAAAGAGAACAAGTCCATCTCAGGCACCTATAAGTAATTCACTGCAAACCTCCATGGTGTGCTGACTGGGGTGGGTGGGTAAGGACACTGCTTTACCAAGTGTTGACGCCAGTTCCACAAAATCCCTCAACACAGGGAGGCACCAAGAATCTCTGTGTTGAGTTTAGTACTCCTTACCCTGATGAAGCAGAAACTCTGGGGTAACTGCAGATTGGTTTACAGAAGTGTATTAGGAGTACTTCCAGGAAATTTATGAGATATTCCCAAGCTTGATGACTCTGGTTAACATCTTGAGGCAGATCTGACTCTCAGGTATGTCATGATTAACTCCAAGTCAGAAGATGCAGCATATGTGCTCATTTGCAACTGCTCTCTTCCTGGCATGTGCACATCTTCTGAAGCTGCAAAGCTGCCTTCCTGGAAACTTGCGGGGGTGGGGGAGGATTTAGAGGGAGAGGATAACTTCTTGAAAAGTAAGAGCCAAGAAGGACTGGAAATTCTCTAATGTCAGAGGCCCAAGATCCAACACTATGCACAATCTCAGCACATGCTTTAGCTGTGTCTGAGATCAGATTCATTCCCGTGAAACGAAATACCATCCCAGAATGCAGTGAGGCCGACCACAAGAGAACAAGGAATCAACAGCTTGTATCAGAGTTCAACTTCCTGGGCAGAGAAAACTCAAAAGGTTTAACTGGCAAAGGCTGTCTACTATGGTGGAGCGGGAATGAAAAAAAGAGATAGCCAGATTCTTTCCAGAGAACAGACACGATCCAAGTTTCTCAACTCACTACATTCACTTTGTGCCAAGGATGGATCCTGGCTCCAGGACTACAGTAACCTTTGAATCTGAAGTATTTGACACAAAACATCATAATTGCTGAAATCATTTGAATCTAGGAAGACTTTCGGCACCAGCCAACCACCCCACCAGATCCACGACTCTTGTCATTCTAAGAGTAGAAATAGGAAGAAAAGCACCTTGGTCTCTTTCTTTCCTTCTTTGCTTTCCTCTCTTTTGAACAGACCCAAGATCCTGAACTCAGTGGGTTAGTCAATCTTTACAGTTTCTTACAATATTCAGATATGAACAAACTTTGGATCCATCCTTTAATTTCCACTTATGAAGCTGAGTACCTACAAGGTAAAGACTCACTGTCCTTCGAAGTCAGACTTAGATGCCTTTAATGTCGCTTCAAAGATGAGAAAAGTGAAAATTCATCTTTCCAAATTGAAGACATAACATTTTGATACATCAGGCATCAGCTAGGCAGGCACCCCTCATCCAGACATGTTAGGCAGCACACAGGTTGGTCAGAGACCAACATTTTTTCCCATAACAACAAAAATGATCTGATTTCTTGTCAAACATACTGATCTGTTGGTCCACAAATACCACATGCCTGAACAAAAGGCTAACTGAGGCATACAGCAGACAAATAAAAAAAGGTGACAGGCCATAGAATAGAACTAGAGATTCTCCTAAATATCGTTAGGCTCACACAACTGCGATAATATTAATTAAAACTAACTACTAATAAAACAAACTTTAACTGATAAAACAAGGTAATTAGATACTATGATGATGAGGGGCTGTATAAGTACAGTACATAGAAACAATAAAACATAATAAAGAATAGTGAAAGTTACGATAGATGGAAAGAACAGGAAGTGAGTTTTTGTTTTACTGCCTCAGTGACCAAAGTATCTCAGAGATGTCTGTGGCTATGACTCCTTACAAAGTTGTGATCCAAATATTCATATTCCCAAGAGACTAATGACATGCCTCCAAAAGACAATGCAATATGCACAACCACAAAATCAAAGTTGGCGAGATGGAGGGGAAGAATGGTAGAAAAATTGATGCCAGTTTTCCAGACTGGATTATACTACACAAAGAAAAATAAAACAGTTGTATATTATAAAATCTCCTTAGTTCTTTAATATGCCTCATACTTGACTAAATGATTCATTCTTAGAATGTAAAAAATACTACATACATTGCAGTTTCACAAAGGCATCAGACAGCAGTAGCAGTAAATACCAAAAATATACAATCTAATATTTTATAGGTCTACAGGAAGGGTTTTTTGAGTTCTGCATGTGAAGCATATTAGACCTACCTTGCACTGCACAGGCCTACAAGTATAGTATAGGTAGGGTTGCTTGTTTATAAAAAAAAATGTAAATTGAATGTAGCCAGACATTCAGGATAGTATTTCAATAGATTATATTGATACAGAAAGAATGCAAACCAAAACCTGTACTAATCCACAAATGATACAATGTATTACATTAATCATCTAATAACTAGTTAGACATTTCCAAGTAGCATGTCATTAATCATATTTTTGAACAAACTCCCGTGCTATTAAAAGATTATCAGAAAGGTCTAATATTTTCTTATATACATTTAAAACAACCAGATGACTTGTTTTGTAGGCCTGTGGAGGCATGTTTTTGACCTGCATAGAAAGGAAAATGGCTAATTTTGTTCAATTACCACAAGATGTGCCCATATTATTTCCCACTCCAATAGCTCCTTGAATTACAGCTGATGCTTCTATTGCTTCCTCAGCTTAAAGATTTATAAAGTGCATTAAAAAGTGAAATTTGCTACTTCCCGGTAAAAAATGGTTACCTACCTTTCGCAACTGTTGTTCTTCGAGATGTGTTGCTCATGTCCATTCCATTCTAGGTGTGTGCATGTCCACGTGCACAATTGTCGGAATTTTTTGCCTTAGTGGTATCCGTAGGGCTGGCTCTGGCGCCCTTTGGAGTGCGCACTCATGTGCTGGTATGTGAGGCACCACTGGGCCTATGCCCTCTCAGTTCCTTCTTGCCGGTAACTCCAACAGAGGGGTAGGAGGGCAGGTAATGGAATGGACATGAGCAACATATCTCGAAGAACAGTTACTACAGGCAGGTAACCTTTTTTTCTTCTTCGAGTGCTTGCTCATGTCAATTCCATTCTAGGTGACTCTCAAGCAGTATCCCTGGAAGTGGACTCGGAATTCACAGTTGTGCGGCTTGTAACACTGCTCTACCAAAGCTGGCATTGTCATGGGCCTGCTGGGTGGTTGAATAATGCAACACAAACATATGAATGGATGACCAAGTAGCGACCCTGCAGATATCTCGAATTGGCACCTGGGCCAAGAGGCTGCTGAAGAGGCTTGCACTGTAGCAGAATGAGCAGTTACCATCGCCGAAGAGGGTACCTTTGCCTGCTCATAGCAAAACTTGATGCAGGCAGTGATCCATGATGAAATCCTCTGTGTAGAAATCGGGAGGCCCTTCATTCTGTTTGCCACTGCAACAAAGAGCTGCGTTGACTTCTGGAATGGTTTAATCATTTCAATATAAAAAGCCAGCGCTCTCCTAACATCAACAGAGTGTAGTCTGCACTCCTTGTCTGACTTATGAGGTTTCGGGAAGAAAACCAGTAAATATATGTCCTGGTTCGTATGAAACTGTGAAACTAACTTGGGCAAGAAGGCTCGGTGCAGTTGCAGTTGAACCTTATCCTTACAGAACACCATATGGAGCGGTTCCGAGGTGAGAACTCTAATTTCGGAGACCCTGCAGGCTGATGTTATAACTACCAGAAAGGAGACCTTCCAAGAGAGCAGCAGAAGGGAACAAGAAGCTAATGGCTTGAAGGGTGGACCTGTGAGCCTAGACAGCATGAGGTTCAGGTCCCAAGGAGGGACAGGGACACGGACTTGAGGGTAGAACTGCTCCAGGCTTTTCAAAAACCGAACCTGCATGTCATGTGCAAAGACCGAACTGCCTTGTGCTGGAGGGTGGAAGGCTGAAATAGCTGCCAAGTGGACCTTGATCATTGAGAAAGACAAACCCTGGAGCTTGTGATGAAGAAGATAGTACAGGATCAACTGGAGAGAGGCCTGGTCGGGCCAAAAACCCTGGTCCAAAGCCCAACATGTGAACTGTTTCCAGGGCTTTCTGCTACCCATGAGGACCTGTTGAACGCAGGCCAAGCATGCCTGTTCTTCCGCATTCAGCCATGTGGCAACCAGGCCGCCAGGTGCAGAGGTACCAGGTTCAGGTGCAGGAGGCATCCGTGGTCTTGGGACAGCAAGTCCAGCTTGAGTGGAAGCTGTAGCAGAGCTGCTATCGAGAGGATTAGCAATGTGCCCAACCAGTGCTGGCGAGGCCAGACAGGAGCTATTAGGATTATTATCACCTTGTCCTGCTTGATTTTCATGAGGACTCTGTGGATTAGAGGCACTGGCTGAATGCGCATAGCAGCACCCCCAACCATGGGAGCAAGAAGGCATTGAACAGAGAGCTTCTGTCGTTCCCGTGAATCAAGCAGAAAATAGGGTACTTCCTGTTCTGCCTGGAAGTGAATAAGTCCACCTGAGGAGTCCCAGACCTCTGGAAGATCAAGCTGACCATTTCCGGATGGAGTGACCTCTTGTGGCGAGATGAGAAGATCCTGCTGAGGCAATCCGCTAA